GTATGTATGTATGTATGTATGTATGTATGTATGTATGTATGTATGTATGTATGTATGTATGTATGTATGTATGTATGTATGTATGTATGTATGTATGTATGTATGTATGTATGTATGTATGTATGTATGTATGTATGTATGTATGTATGTATGTATGTATGTATGTATGTATGTATGTATGTATGTATGTATGTATGTATGTATGTATGTATGTATGTATACATGTATGTATGTATGTATGTATGTATGTATACATGTATGTATGTATATATGTATGTATGTGTGTGTGCGTGTGGTGTATGTATATACAATATACATTCCACACAAACGGGTATTGAAAATTCACCTTTGAAGATATTCATCAATGAACTCAGGGCATCTATGTTAATTTACATGCGTGTTTATGCAAAATGACTTTTAATAACTAAAGGTGTTAGTCAACTCACGTACACTACACACACAAACACACACACAAACACACCCACACAGATACATTATGTACGTATATAGAAAGAGAGAGAGAGAGAGAAGAAGAGATAGAGAGAGACAAAGAAAAGAGTAAAAGATATATATATATATATATGTATGTTGGTGAAAGACCATAATTATAGAATAATTATAGAATATTGTAGAAAAAATATATATATATACATATTTATATTTATATAGCAAAACCGAAATAGAGAGAGAGAGAGAGAGATAAATAAATGATTAAACAAACACATGTAAATATACAAAAGACGAACTTGAAACAAAAGAGAATTGATCAATGATTGACACGTCAGATAACGAACTAACATTCTGAAACGTCGATCGCAATTAATTTACACGCTAGTGTTGTCTGTTGATTATTGGGCGGTTGATGATCTGCCACATCTAACTTAAAATGCTTTTGCGTATGTTTTAACTCTTTGATTTGTTTCTGTGTTTATTTTGTTTCGTTCAACTCTTTGCTTCGGATAACTTTTTGTTTGAATTTTTTTTTTGTAAAAAAAAAATTCAGTGCTTGACTGAAAACAACACTCCCACAACTTAAATACAAACAAACACACACACACCTACACACACACACAAACACATACATGTATATATATATATATATATATATACAAACAGAGACACACAAACACACATGCAAGCACTTTTTACATACATTCACTCAGAATTCACCGAATCCATTCACCACTATACAATATACATACACAAGTGAGAAAACCACTTGAAAAAGCGCGATGATTATTTCACGAAAATGAATGAATGAATGAAGAATGAATGAGTAAATGAAAAATGAATGAATGAATAAATGAATAAATGAATGAATCAATCAATCAATTTCAATCAATCAATCAATTTCAATCAATCATTTAGCTTATAAAGCGCTATTTCCGCGATGTTCAACAGCGCGGAAATAATGAATGAATGAATGAATGAATGAATGAATGAATGAATGAATGAATGAATGAATGAATGAATGAATGAATGAATGAATGAATGAATGAATGAATGAATGAATGAATGAATGAATGAATGAATGAATGAATGAATGAATGAATGAATGAATGAATGAATGAATGAATGAATGAATGAATGATTGAATGAATGAATGAATGAATAGATAGATATAGAGATTGATATATGAATAAATAGATAAATGGATATGATATCATTGAACCTCAACGTAGCTGTAGCACCACCTTCAATCAATCATTCAACTAATCAATCATTCGACCAATTAATCACCTAATCAACCAACCAATTAATCCTCCAATCAAACAATCAGTCACTCAGCCAACCAGTCATCCATCCAATCGATCAATCAATCACAAAACTTAGTTACATGACTTACAATTGTACATCAATATGCTTATTAAGTACTGTTGCTACTTTACACATTAACACACACGGCGCACACAC